AAGGAGGATAGAAGGAGAATTGATGCCTTTGAGCTGTGGTGCTGGAGAAGAGGATTGAGAATACCATGGAATGCTAGGAAAACAAACAGATTCGTCCTGGAAAGGGTTAAAGCGGGTGGCTCCTTGGAGGCAAGGATTCTGAGGCTCCGTCTAACATACTTTGGACATGTTGTGAGGTGAGACCGGTCCTTGGAGAAGGACATGATGCTTGGGAGGGTGGAGGGACGGCGCAGGAGGGGAAGGCCCTCTACGAGGTGGATTGATTCAGTGACTGGGATAATCGGGATGGGAGTGTCAAAACAGTGCAACTGTCACAGGACAGAGCAGAGTTTAGGGCTGTTGTACGTAGGGTCACTATGACTTGCAAGCTACTCGACAGCACATAACAACAACAACAACAACAATTCCATATGTATAAGGTTTCATTTTAGCTTCAGAATAGCACTGAAAATACATCAACATTATGCCATAAAGAACATGAGACTTCAGAATATAAAGAATTTAGATTCTAGCTGTGATTCTATCACTCCTTAAACTTTAATCACTCATTTCATTATCTGTAACAGGATATAAAATGTACAAATAATATAGGAAATTCTATTTTTCACTTTCTGTAATGCAATTAATGAACAACAAAGATGGCCAGAAGACAAATCGATGCCTTGGAATCATGGTTTTGAATGATGGAGAAGAATACTGAATATCTCATGGCCTACCGAAAGAACAAACAAATCTGTTTTAAAGGAAGTGCAACCTGGGTGCTCCTTAGAAGTACAGAAGGTGAAACTTCATCTCACACACTTTTGGGATGTAATCAGGAGTGGCTGCTTGTCGTTGTTATGTGCTGTTAAGGAGGACCAAGTCATAGCTCACCCTCCCGCAGGTTTTCAGAGGCAGTTAATTGCCTGACACTTCCCATCTTTCTCTTGTGGAGCAGATGGTAGATTCAAATCACGCGCCCTTGGGTTGACAGTGCAACTCCTTACTCATCAGGTCACCAAAGGAAAAAAAACCCAAACACTACACCATGCTGGGAAAGATGGAGGGTAAGAGAAAGAGAGGAAGACCTCAAGAAGATAGATTGCCTCAACAACTTTTAACAACAGGCTCAAGCATATTAGAAATCAAGAAAATGGGGCAGGGGGGAAAAATTCAGATCTGTTATTCATAGCACTTCCGAGTTGTCATTTTGATGGCACATAATAGCAAAGGAAGTAAAAACAAAATTAGAAATCACATATTTAAGAACCTGAGTGTCTCATACAAATAAATACAGGAAAAATACAAAATTTAGATAGCACAATTTGTTGTTGAGAACTGTTGCGTCATATCTGACTCACTGTCGACCCTCTGGCAGATTTTCAGAGGCAGTAAATCACATGGGAGGAAACTGCCCATACAATATTTAGACAGTACAATTTGGGTGTGGCAAAATCTTGAAACTGTCCTGCAATCTTTATTCTCCTTCTTTCCTTGTAACAGAATTTTTAGTTGGACACATTGCAGCTCAGAGTACTTATTTTTCAGCCTCCCTTGCAAACAGGTCTGGCATATATGCTAACCAACAGAATGTGAGTAGAGGTAAACAACTTCCAAATTGTGTTCTAAAAGCACAATTTTAGAGTCTTGCTCTTTCTTTCCTATTTATGTTTTCGCCCCCTGTGACTGGCTGGAATGTGGATATGGTGGTAAGCATATCTTATACACAAAACACTCTAGGACTGCCTAAGAATGGGAGGAGGCAGGATCCTTGACTAATTTCATGAACACAGAGTCCTTCAGATTTTTACATGAAAGAGAAATAAATTACTTTGAGTCATTATTATTTTGAGTACCTATCACAAAAAAGTGAAAACATATTCTAAACAAAACATTTAAGAATAAAAAGTTTAGTCCTCTAACCCATTCTTCCCTTCATTACAAAGTATTATTTTTTTTCTTTATTGAGGGAGTGCTGGTGGTAGTCAGTAGGAAGTTGCATTACTAACCTAAAGGTCAGACTTCTCTGGCAGAACCAATCAACTAGCAGCTTTGTGGACAGAAAAACAAGCAATTTCCTCCTGTTTGATTTACAGCATCAGAACCCTACTATGGAGGGTCAGCTATGAGTCAATTCTGAACTTAACAGCTATGAACTGAGTTTGGTTTTCTGTCATATGCTTATTATTCTAGTTTTTATAAACCATTTAGTAGACAAAAGGTGAAGCCAAAAGTATTAGTAAACCAAACCCTGTTGCCAATTCTGACTCACGGCCCCCCATAGGGCAAAACAGCTCTGCCCCACTCCAACCCTGTAATCTTTATGGAGACAGGGTGCCACATTTTCCTCTAACTGGCTACTAGGCTTGAACCACCAACTTTTCACCTATCAGTAGAATGCTTAACCACTGTTCCACCATGGTTCCTTCAAAATATCAGTGGTGGCTGTACAACCTTACTTCTGTTAGAGGCACTCTGACCCAAGAGTTAAAAAATTAAAAAAAAATCAAAATTACAATTCCCTAAAACACAGGTTTGAGGCCTTGAACACTAATGAGAGAAGACCAGATGAGTTGTGGGAGGATGTCAAAGATATCATTCAGGAAGAGTGTAAACGGTCATTACAAAGACAGAAG